TTCTAGAGAAGTCCCAATAAGAACCAGTTAAGCTGCCAGAACTATTAAGCTAGTTCATCAGAGATGCAAGATAGAAGATTAATCACAAGATCAGTTGCATGCTTATACATCTGCAATGAGCAACCCAAAATGTGTCAGCTTCCCACTGTTGCACTAATTATCCCAAAGCAAAACCCAGAGGGAATGTCTTTTAAAAGTCAGCAACTCTTAATGCCACTGAACTGCACATTAAAGATGGTTAAAATGGTAAATACCACCATATACATATGTGTGTATAGATATATCTGTATACACATACATATATACCACAATAAAACAATTTGCATATGTGAGCGTGGGTATGCATGCACCCCTTTCTGTGCATGTTTGGAGGTCAGAGGACAACCCTGGGTGTCGATCCTCACCTTCCACCCTGTTTGAGACAGGATACCTCCTGTTCATCATTTGTTCGCTAAGCTGGCTGGCCTGGGGGCTTCTGGTGATTCTCCAGTGTCCACTTCCTCTGTCCCAATAGGGGTTCAGTGTGGTGACAGATGCTTGAGCTACTTTGTCCAGCCATACTGGATTTGGGGGATCAAACTTGTCAGGCTTCTCTGGTCATGACTTTACCCACTGAGCCATCTCCCTAGTTCATAATAAAATATTGTGAGGGGAATTCATAAGATCCATTAAGCAGGCCATTAAACATGAGAGACTCCTAGAGAATTTCCAAAATGATGAGAAAGGAAAGGCCGCGGAGACAGCAGACAGTATCTGTAAAGAATATGAGAATGAGCAGGTCCAGAAAGGCGGGAAAGAGCTAAATAAACTCAAACTGACATATTAGGAGGATATAATGTTTCTATTAGAAGTGTGTATGAAAATATATAATTCTCAGTAAAGATATTCAATATGTAGTCGATAATCTACCACAATTAGGATAATTATCCTATAATTAAGTCTAGTAACTCTATGTCTATCATAGTTTATGGAAGTACTGTGTATGATCCTCATATGAGATCACCTGATAAGACATCTAAGATCAGATATCCATCATAAAGCAATACGTGATATATGTATGTTCTCTCTACGTATAATAACCATATATGTATATTCTACAAACAGAGGCAATTTTTCAAGCCATTTGCCTTAATTAAGATTTCTATTGCTGTGAAAAACATTGTGACTAGCTGGATGTGGTGGTGCACGCCTTTAATCCCAGCACTCTGGAGGCAGAGGCAGGGAGATCTCTGTACATTCAAGGCCAGCCTGGTCTACAGAGTGAGCTCCAAGATAGCCAGAGTTGTTACACAGAGAAACTCTGTATCAAAAAAAAAATATTAAGCAAAACAAAACAACAAAACATCATGACTGTGGTGGTATGAAAATGGCCCCCAAAGGGAGTAGCACTATTAGGAGGTGTGGCTTTATTGGAACAGGTGTGACCTTGTTGAAGGAAGTGTGTCACTATGAAGGTGGACTTTGAGGCTTTGTATATGCTCAGGCCACACCCGGAAGAGACAATCTACTTCCTGTTGCCTGCGTACCAACAAGTTACAGTTCCTTCTCCTGCACCATGTCTGCCTGTTCCCCATCACGCTCCCTGCTGAAAAGTGTTTGTGTCCCAATAAACCTCTCCACCAACGCAATAATCCAAATCAAACCAAATTAGAAAAAGCCCAGGTTTAATGGATACCAATGCTCCCGGATGGCTTTCTAGTGCCCCAGAGAGGAGATGGGGAAGGAAGACCAGAAGACCATGCATTTGTTCTCTGGGTTGCTGTTTAAATACCCTGTGGGAGTGGTCTTGAGCATCTCTGAGGAGGGGTCATCGTTTTGGTGGGCTTTCTTGGGGGTGGAGTCTGGACTGAGGCAACTTCCAGGGGAGGGGGCTTGGGATGGAACTTTCCACCCACACATTCCAGACTCTTTGGGTATACCACCTCAATTAAATGTTTTCCTTCATAAGAGTTGCCGTGGTCATGGTGTCTCTTCACACAATAGAACACTGACTGAGATAGTGACCAAAAGCAGCTTGGGAAGGAAGGGCTTGCTTCAGCTTACACTTCCAGAGAAGAGTCCATCACTCAGGGACGTCGGGCGGGAACTGAAGCAGAGGCCATGAAGGAGTACTGCTCTCTGGCCTGCTCAGTTTGTTTTACCTTTTTTTCTTTCTTGTTTTTACGTCCTAACTAAAGCTTCCCCTCCCTCCCCTCTTCCATTGGGGGTCCCCTCCCCCTCCATTTCCCCTCCCTCACCTTACCCTATCCACTGTTTCTTTTCAGATCCAGGCCAGCCTATCAACCAGCCATGGTGTATCAAGCTGCAGTGAGACCAGGCACCTCCTCCTCCACCAAGGTTAGATGAGGCAATCCGGCAGGAGGAATTGGGTCCCCAAAGCTGGCAACACAGTCAGTGACATCCCCCATTCTCGCTGCTAGGAGTCCCACACAAAGACTAAGCTACACAACTGTAATATACATGCAGAGGGCCTAGGTCAGTCCTATACAGGCTCCCTGGTTGTTTGTTCAGTCTCTGTGAGCCCAGGTTAGTTGGTTATGTGGATTTTCTTGTGGTGTCCTTGACACCACTGGGTCCTACCATACTTCCTCCCCCTCAGTTTTCTTTCCTATACCATCCAAGACCACCAGCCCAGGGGTGGCACCACCCACAATGGTCTGGGCCCCCTTATGTCAACCACTAATCAAGAAAATATCCACAGACTTGCTGCCTATAGGCCAAACATATGGAGGCATTTTATCAATTAAAATTCCCCCTGTTTAGGGGCTGAGAGATGGCTCAGAGGTTAAGAGCACTGCCTGCTCTTCCAAAGGTCCTGAGTTCAATTCCCAGCAACCACATGGTGGCTCACAACCATCTGTAATGAGATCTGGTGCCCTCTTCTGGCCTGCAGGCATACACGCAGAAAGAATACTGTATACTTAATAAATAAATAAATATTAAAAACAAAAACAAAAAAAAATTCCCCCTGTTTAGATATGTGTAGGTTTGTATCCAGTTGACAAAAAACAACCATCACACTAACATATGAAGCAATTGTGGATTAATTTCGGAAAAAAGGCAGAAATGAGTGTCTGGGTATAAAAGCAGAAGGAGAAAACCAACTCCCCAAAAGTTGCCTTCTGACCTCTTAATTTTAAGAGCAGGCGCGATGACTCAGTAGTTTAGAGAGAAGACCCAGGTTTGGATCCCATTGGACACACACATCAGGGAGCTCACAGCCCCTCTAACTAGTTCCAGGGGATCAGACGCCCTCTTCCAGCCTCCTTGGGTTCCTGCATGCATGTAGTGCATATAGTCTCAGGCACATACCACATAAAATGTTGTTTTTAGAAGAAAATCGAGCCTGTGTTGACACGGAAAGATACCCATGAGAAACAGAAATGAATTCCTGAGAGATGAGTGGTTGAGCAGTGTGTAAAGTGTGATTCAGTTTTGTCTGGAGATCTGTCCGCTCAGGCACAGTCCAAAGTCAGGAGGGTTCGTCACTGTGTGATTGACAGCACACCTCCACAAATAGGAGTGGAGATGGGAGTGGAGGGGAAGCTTTCGCTTTCTATTCAATGTTTCCTGCATGCTGAAATTCTTTCATACAGTCTGTAAACTGATACTATTGTATATTGTGGGTGGATTTTTTCTTTACCTTCCTTTCTTTTATCTTCTCTTCTTTTCTTTTCTTTTCTTTTCTTTTGATGTGCTGGCCTGGATCCCTGGGAATGTGGGGAGGAGCTTGGCCGAGTAGCAGGACCCTGGCCACAGTCCTGATTTGTTCTGTACACTCAGGCCAGCTGCCTCCCCTCTCTGGGTCAGGGCCAGACATGTGCTAGTGTGTGTGTTGGAAAAGGTGGTGAGTTGAGGCCATGCGGAGCTCTGGAGAGGGTGGGAGCGGTAGTTTTTAAGGCACTGGGCTTGACCATGGGATTGTCGACGATTTTAACAAAGGGTCAACAATAAAGAGCTGTGGAAGTAGCTCAGGGAGGGTGCTTACCTGGCATGTGCAGGGTGCTGGGTTCCATCCCTAGCACCACAGAAGTTCTGGGCATAATGGTAAGGGCCTGCAGTCCCAGCACTTGGGAGGTGGAGCAGGGGAATCACAAGTTCAAAGTTGGTCCCAGTTATACAGGGAGTTCCAGGCTAGCCTGGGACACATGGGACACCATTTTAAGCACAACGAATCTCAAACTCTAAGGTGCCTACTGCAGAGAGGTCACAAGGAAGATTTTGTCCCTTCTGTCCAGTGTCTTGACCGTGTCCCATGCCTGAGTAAGAACCCTTGGCCTGGCACCTTCAGGTGACTCATAACAAAGCCTCGGTTCACAGGACCTAGGACCAGCTGAGCCCTGGTACCTAATCCTCAGATTTCCCAATTCAGAGCAGGCTTCAAGTCTCCACCTGACTGTCATTCTTCTTAAAGGAGGCAGGGTAGGTGAACAGGGATGATAGGCACTAGCTCAATACAAGAGAGCGCAAGGTGTGTGTGTGGGGGGGGGGGGGCGGTGTCCAGCGATGCAGCAGGACACAGCAGGAATGAGCTGCCCATCTCTGGAAGTCATCAAGGCAGGGCTGCATGCAGAGGCAGGCACCCTCATCAAGGAAATGGTGGGAGAGAGGTGGGTGAAATAGGTCTTTTTATCGTCCATTCTCCAAGTTCTGGGAGAAGGGGAAAACGCTTCAGATGACGGTGAGTGGGAGGGCTAAACAGAGAAGCCTAACTTGGAGCTGGACCATGAAGGGGCTGATTTGAGAATGAAAGGGTGGCAGTGTCCGAAGGGACGAGAAAGAGCCTTCACCGAGGCTCAGGAATTCTCACGAGACTCTGGGAGCCCAAGGTCACACAGCATAAGTTGGCAGTAGGTTTTTAACAGTTCAGAGGGTCCCCAGGGCACAGCTGTCCAGAAGCCAGCGGTGCAGCAACCATGGTGATTCAGTCCAGCAGTTAATTAGTAACCGGACAGTCCTGAAGCCGACTCCCATCTGGCTGGCCTGGGAGGTTGAATTTGTGCTGGTTTGAGAGACGGGCGAGCTGGTGACAGGTCACTCCTGCTTTGGAAGGTTGCTGGATGAGTCCGGATTGGGGAGACGGAGAAAGCACAGTTCTTCAGGACCTGCGCTGGGACCCAGGGTTTCGAGGTGAGGGGCTCCCCTGTGTGCAGAGTATCTGCCTTGTCACAGCTTTCTGTATTCCAGCTGACTGCCCAGGCTAGATTGCTTCCTAACTACCTTTCTCTCTTTTCCATGCCCTTCTTCCCCTTCCCTTCCCTAGCTTTATCCCCCTCCCTCCTTTTCCTCTTGAATTTTCTTAACTCTCTAATGCCTTTCCCCTGTCTCCTACCTTCCCATCCAAGCGACTCCTTAATTTCTCCTCCTCGGCCAACTTCTTTTTGATGAGCCAGCTCATCCCCACTTTCATTCTTTCCATTTCTGTCTAATCTCTTCTGGAGGCTCCAGGCTGTGGGTTTTGGGGTCAGCTTGCCTGGATTTAAATCCTGTTTATATCATCTATTGACATGGCTCACTCAAGTTGTTTCTCTTTGCCACGCCTCAGTCTCCTCCTCATTTAAGAAGGGATAACAGGGCTTGGGGGTTTAGCTTAGGGGTGGAGCACTTGGCTGGCAGTCCTGGATCCAATCTTCACCAATACACATGTGCTCTCACACTCTCTCTCTCTCTCTCTCTCTGTGTCTCTCTCTCTCTCTCTCTCTCTCTCTCTCTCTCTCTCTCTGTGTCTCTCTGTCTCTCTGTCTCTCTGTCTCTCTGTCTCTCTCTCTCTCTCTCTCTCTCTCACACACACACACACACACACACACACACACACACGTGTGGATGTTGGCAAATTTATCCTATGGGGTTTATATGAGCAAGAAAAGACCAAGCTAGCCCTTGAGCTAAGAAGGCAGGTAAGTGACACAGTCCAGGGGAGTGAATCCAGGCACAATGACAGAAGCAGATACAAGAAGAGGACACTGGGCAACGTTTTTAAGGGAAAGCAGATGGTGACTCCTGAAAGGGTGAGGCAAGCTTGTCACGTCGGTGGCCGTGTTCTCGCTGAAGAGAGCTGTGTATTGTTCCTTGTGCCATGCAGGTCTAGGGAGATGAAAGCGAGCACACCAGAGAGGGCTAGAGAAGGGCAAGTCCAGGCAGCAACAAGGAATGGGATGATATTAGTGGCTCGTGGATGAGAGAAGGGATGGTGGGATTGCCCACTGGATAATGACACTTGCCATCAAGTCTGATGACCTGAGTTTGATCATGGGGACCCTCATGCAGGAGAAGAGAACTCCTTCAAGTTTTACACACACGAGAGAGAGAGAGAGAGAGAGAGAGAGAGAGAGAGAGAGAGAATAAATGTAATAGTAAAAATAAAATAACCAGGAGAAGACACTGGTGCCAAGTTGGACCAGGCTGTATCTATCACAAGACAGTAATGCAAGGGAAAAGGAACTCTTAGGAACTGCAGGGGTGGGATGGGGTTCTTAGGCAAGGTGATAGGAGACTGAGCAGTGAACACGTTGAAGAGCGGCTGAGGCTTGGTACTTTAGCAATAAAACAGTGGCACTGTAAGAAATTTTTTTTTTTTTTTTTTTTTTTTTTTTTTGGTTTTTCGAGGCAGGGTTTCTATGTGGTTTTGGAGCCTGTCCTGGAACTAGCTCTTGTAGACCAGGCTGGTCTCGAACTCACAGAGATCCGCCTACCTCTGCCTCCCAAGTGCTGGGATTAAAGGTGTGCGCCACCACCGCCCGGCTCTGTAAGAAATTTTATATCATAGTTCAAAAAGAAAAACAAATGACCTAGTAACTAGTGGTCATGGCCTCTTCAATTTTGCTGTTGCTATTCATGCAAATGTCCATTGTCCTTTTCCTCCACTTTAGTAAAATTAGTACCCCAGTGCACCCACCATTCTGAAACTTGCTTTCTCCTTGATCATAGCATCAGACCTATGCCCCCATTTTGATCCATATAGGCTTACATAGACAGATGTTTGGGTTATATAATTTTTCATTTAGTATGTATACTACACCTGATCACTCAACCCCATGACTTCATTAATTAAATGTGTCATGAACACTTCGCTATTTCAGGCTGGTTATAGATATAAAGGATCCAATAGTGGGCAAAAAGAGTCTGCTTTTGTGAGCTGATGTTCTAGTTTGCGATGGAAAATTAGAGCACTCGACTAGTGACATAAGAAACAGAGACACAGTCTCCAGAGGAGAAGCCGGCTACTGTGGAGGGATGGACCGGCCATCAGGATTTGCTCAGGACTGCATAGGCTCAGCACTGAAAGCCCTAAGCCCCAGATAGATCAAGAGAACCCATGACCTCTCCTGGAGGTGCCACTGAAGCTGGGTCCTCGCCGTGTTACTGAAAGTTAGCGACGTGTTTTCTGGGGTAAGAGCTTTCTAGACAGAGAAAGCAGAAGGAGCTAAGCCATTGAACTGGTTCGTGGACATGGGAAATGAGGGGAGACAGAGACCCAAGGACTGAGTCAGGGTTGAAGGGGAAGAGAGTCCAATAAGGAACCCCAGGACCTCTCAAGGTGCCAGGGAGGATGCCAGAGCCTTGGCTGGGCTGACTAAGGTGAGAACCTGGAAGTCACCACTGACCCTGACATATGAGGCCACTGTCCACTGATTCCTCAGGATGCTGGGATGAAATCTAAGGTGAGTTTAGGAGTGGAACAGAAAAAGGAGTGGAGATGAGAACAGGTCCTTAGAGAAGTTTCGTGAAAGAAGAAAGTGAGAGAAATGGGTTGTCTAGCCATGGTGCAGGATGAGGATCTGAGCCAGCATGGCGGAAGTGTTCCTAAGTGCCAGCCAGAGGCTCTTAGCCTGTTGTTAGTCCCTTTATCTTGTTCTTCTAAAGTCCTGCTGCTGCTCCCTCTGAAGACCCAATGGGTTTTTGTTATTGAAAAGAAATGTTCTTGGTAAGAACGTGTTTTGTCAACATGTCACCCTGCAGACTTGTGTATGGGTTCAACATTTCTATTTTGTGGGAAAATGAAACTTTGATGCTGTTTACTGCAGTGTTCCTAGGTCAACACCTCCAGGTCCCTTGAATTTTAGTTTATAAGAATGCCTGACCCAGCCTGGTCTACAAGAACTAGTTAGAACTAGTTCCAGGACAGGCTGCAAAGCTACAGAGTAACCTTGTCTCAAAAACCAAAATAACAAAAAACAAAAGCAAAAAAAAAAAAAAAAGGCACGCCTGACTGCACAGAAAGCTCCAGGGAGACAGGGGCTCTGTTGCTCCCTGAATTCCTTCCTTGCTCAGAGCACCTGCCAACCCCTTCTGATCCTCTGATAGAGGAACGGACCCTGTGATAACCTAACAGCACACCTCACAGCCAGACAGGCCTTTGTGGGCCTGGAGCTCCTGAGGCATGAGTTCTCACACAGCAGAAGAGCTGTGGTCCAGCCAGGCCTGCTTCAGGGACAGTGAGTCAGAAGAGTAAGCTCTTGAAGAGCCCATAGGGAAAACCCAGGTAGCCAAGTGCTCCGTAGTCCACGACCAAGGCCAGCTGGATGAGAGCCAGCTCCTGCTCCTCTGGAGCACCTACACAGTTTTGGGTTGTTCTCTGTGGCCATAGCTCAGGTCCTAGGGACCTCTCCTCCAGACCAGGTGGTCTATATAGAGTCTGCATAGAACCCTGGATTCTAACTGATGAGCCTTCTATATGTGTATACACATGTTCACACACACAGGTTACCCAACACATACCAGTATGGAAACAGACACACAGTTATGGACCTATGCATGCATATGTCACATGCACATATTACTAGACACAGTCTGAAGACAGACACATAAACACATGCAGACTCACACCAAACATTACATATATATATGTATATATATACATATATACATGTATATATACAATACATGCCGACATATACTATACAGTGGCACACTGACGTCTGGGACTTTACATCCACTGATCATACAGCAAAACAATGATGAACTCAGCACAGATGCAGACTCACATACATACAATGCTGTCACACCAACACATCTTTCTTTCTTTCTTTCTTTCTTTCTTCCTTTCTTGTTTTTGTCTTTTTGGTTTTTGGAGACAGGGTGTCTCTGAGTAGCCCTGGTTGTCCTGGAACTCACTCTGTAGACCAGGCTGGCCTTAAAACTCACAGAGATCCACCTGCCTCTACCTCGCGAGTGTGCACCACCACTGCCCGGCACATGTACACATTCTTACATACACACACACACACACACACACACACACACGACACAAATATCTGAAATCCGCAGCCACACTGGCACACCAGAGACATGCCAAAGCACAACTCTACACGAAATACTCACGGAGAGCACATACCCTAACCCGTACACTCACACACGTTCTTACAGTTCCCAGTGGTCTCCAGGGTCTTCTGGGCCTGCTGAATAATCCCTCATTTCCTAGGGAAAACAGCATCCCCTAAGGAACAGAGGTCTCCCGTGCCACTGCTCGATCTGTGTGACATCACCAGCCCCCTTGCTGCTGCCACTGCTGGAAGTTCTGAGCTCTGTGCTGGGGGCACCAGGCACTGACACTTGGCTCTTGTTGGGAGAACAGAGAGAGTCTCTCTTGTCCACGGCCTGTGCTCGGCTCCAACTGCTGCATCTCCCGGAGGCCTCTGCCCAGCCTGCATAGGTATGTGGGACCCGGGCAGCCAGAACCAGGCACAGGACCCATGGGAGGGATGGTGGTGTCTCAGGCTGACTGTAGGAACATAGCCTGGCATGCATCGGAGAGGCCAGGATACACCTCCCTCCGCTAGAATTCTATAGCCTGCTCTGCAGGAGTTTGGCAGTGGGAGGCCTCTAGATTAGTCTAGCTGGGAACTCCCATTAATGCTACTTTTTCTGCTGGGTGGCCTCTGACCTGGTAGAAGTTCCTGGCCACAGGTGAGTGGGTGTCAGTATCCCACCCAGCCACAGGGTGGTGCCTCCTGAAAAGAGATGATCTAAGAGATGCCAAGCTATTTAGTCCAGGTCCTACAGCAATCAAAACCAGGGTCTTTAAATGAATAATTTGCACCACGCTCTGTGAGAGGTACAGAGCCGATGAGGCTCCAAGCCCCTGAATCAAATCCTAGACAGTTGGCTTCTCCTATTGTGCTGAGCTGGCTGCATAGACCAGCTACCCACCCCTTCTATCATTTGAACTCACAGACACTGGCTCCTTGGGGGATTTCATGGTTCTGATCCAAAGTCCCAGTGTAGTCACTGTCACTGAACCCTGAGGAGAGTATCCAGGCAAGATTGTAATCAACACAGAGCTTATCCTGGGACTTTCCACAAGAATTTACAGTTGCCAACATGGCAATTTGTGAGTCTGGAGAGCCCAGGCTACCCACAAACAGTAAGAGTCAAGAAAGTCCTGTTCTAAATCATGTGTGGGAACACACTTCAGTGTTCTCACTGTTTGGGAGGTTAAGGCAGTTCCAGGCTAACCTAGGATATGCAGCAAGCTCAAGACCAGCATGGGCCACAGAGCAAGGCCCTGTTTGAAAAATTAGAGTAACAAAAATACATAAAGCGTTTTTCAAGGTCTCCGCGCCTCCCTGAGAAGTAAAAGGAAATGTTTAGCTTTAAGCCTATGAGGCTCCTGCCTCCTCTGGCCACCTTGGGGTTCTGGAGTTTCCATCATTCACAAGAATCTTCCCATCCTGGGTGTCTCGGGCCTTTGCAAAGATGCTGCCAGGCAGGGACCACTCTAGCTGTCCTTCTCCATCCCTCCTGAACTGTTTGGTGAGAAAGACTGGGTCTGGCCTTTTGTCTGTCATTTGTCTCATCCACGCATGGACTTCTGGTCTTTAGGGTGAGAGCCGCTAAGGCTGTCTCAGAAGTTGAAGGTGGGAAAGAGGGCAGCCCAGCCTGGGGGCCAAGATCTGTCGCTCTTGGTCTTCCCAGTACCTCCAGAGCCTGCCTCATCACAGCTACAGAATGGCCTCCAGCCCAGCTGGAGTTCCTAGCCCACAGGTGAGTGGTTCGCAGTCTTACAACACCCAGCCCCCTGCACCAGAGATTCACTTCCTCCTAAGGCTGAGGAAATCTGTAGGGATCCCAGCCAGTCCTGTGGGCCTTCAACCAGAATTTGTATCTGCCAGGTTACTGTGAACTCACAGAGTTGGCCATTTGCAAAGAACATTGAAGAGAGATCTGGCAGGGAGCTATCAAAAGTAGATTTGGTTAGGAAAAACAAAACACGACACTGGTTGGGAAAATATATAGGTTCAAATCCCACGTTGGCCACATGTAAGGCCTCTCTGGTGTCAGTTCTCTTTTCTTAATTGCCATGATGGTCTTTAGAAGCTAGTGTGACATGAGTGCTTAGATGGAGGAGGGCTGGCTACGGAGGAGTGGGTGGGTACAGAGAGGAAAACCAATGAAGGAAAGGAGGGAGATGGGAAGGTGAGCTAGTTAGTGATGTTGGCAGAATCAGAGCCTAGGCCAAAGGAAGAGGAGGAAGCTTGCTGATCTTCATTGCCTCTTTCTTGAAATGTCTTCAGCCCTCTAGGGCCAATGGGAACATCAACCTGGGACCATCTGCTAACCCCAAGTGAGTTCTGTTTTCCAAGACAAAATTCCTACCCAGCTGTCCCATGGCTGGTTCTCTTTGCTCTAGAAATAAAATCCAGGGTCCATGATGTACACAAAGCCTTTGCCCGCTGGAACAGAATCCTTCTAAGCCTGTGCCTGCTCAGCTTCATCTCTCATTAACTTCCCAGCTTTGGCCCAAGCCGAGCCCTCTCTACCTGGAATGACCCCAAACATCTTCTCTGTCAGCAGCTCTCCACCTTCTCCTGGCTGGGAGTGGGGGTGGGCAGGGATGAAGGAGACTGCCTTCTGTACCATGTACCTGATTGTTCCTCCTGGTAATAACTGGTCTGTGAGCCGGGAGTGAGTGAAGGGGGAGGTGTGTGAGGCTCCATCTTCTGAGCTCCTTTGGGCTGTAAGACATAATATTCTTCAGGAGGGGGTCCAGGAGGCTCCTGCAAGGCCACCTGCACTTTTCTGCTCTGAAATGAACCAGAGACTGAGCTTCCAGAGCTTCCAAATGCTGATCCTTGTTCTTCTCCGGTCCACAGTGCCCGACCCACAGATTTTGACTTCCTCAAAGTCATTGGCAAAGGGAACTATGGGAAGGTAAGCAAGGAGAGCTTTCTGGAGTCATCTGCCTGTGGTCTCCATTAGCATATGCAAAAAGAAGTCTGGTGTTCAACATACATGCAGAATGGATTGGAGCTGCTAGGGGAACCCATCATCCCTGATGTCTTATATCTGTACTTTTCTTCAGGTCCTACTGGCCAAGCGCAAGTCTGATGGAGCCTTCTACGCAGTGAAGGTGCTACAGAAGAAGTCTATATTGAAGAGCAAAGAGGTACCAGAACTCGGGAAGGCTCACTTCCCCTCCTGCTTCTTCGTCCCCAGCCTAGCATGGCTTCCCAAGAGGTCCAGTGGGGGCAGCTCAGAAAGTCCAGCTAGAACACTGGATTCTAACCTTTTTAGAGGAAGGCAGGCCAAGCCATCTCCCTAGGAGCTTTCTGGAGGATGAGAAGGTCTCTACCTTCCAGTTAACAGGTTCACAGATGGACCAGCTCTCTGCTCCCTCTAGGAGCAACACCATGGGCTCATAGCGCAGCCTCTTAAAAGGCCCCTTCAGCCTGGCCAGCTTGTGTAGATGGCATTTTCCTGTCCCACCCACAGGCAGCCACTTCTCATATAACTGATTTGGAGACTTAATATAAATTATAAACGCTCAGCCATTAGCTCAGGCTTGTTACTAACTAGCTCTTACAACTTAACACGTTTCTATTAATCTATGTGCTGTCCTGAGGCTCATGGCTTTTACCTCTATCCCATTTTGTGTCTCCAACTCATTCTCTGGCTGGCTGGCACCTCTTCTGACTCTGCCCTTCCTCATTCCATCATTCTCAGTTTGGCTTTCCTACCTAACTTTATCCTGTTCAGCTATTGGTAACTCAGCTTGTTTATTAAACCAATCATAGTGGCGTATATTCACACAGTGTACAGAAGGATTATTACACAGCAAGTTTGGATCTCTAGATGCCTCAGCAACTTGAATCCCTTCAATACTGTTAGAAGGACAGAGAGGATAAAATATCAAGCCAAACTACTCAGGAGACAGAGTGATCCATGCCAACAAGGAGGGGAGGTCTTGAACTGACCCTGACAGTAAACAGCATTCTGATAGTTTGAAAAGAAGGCGGGGTGTCTGGGGCTAGAGAGATGGCTAGAATGACATAGTGCTCTCTGTGTAAGCATGAGGACCTAAGTTTGATCCTGTGGAACTCACATAAAAAAGCTAAGCATGGCAGCATGCATCTCTAATCTCAGTGCTGTAGAGATGGAGAGGAAGGATCTCTCCAGCTTGCTAGCTGGCTGGACTACCGCAGTCAATAAGCTATAGATCCAGTGAGAGACCCTGCCTCAAAGAATAGGGTAGAGAGCGTGGTGGAGGGAGACACCCATCATCAACTTCTTGTACACACACACACACACACACACACACACACACACACACACACATGCATGGGGAGTGGGGGCTGTCCAGATGGATAAAATAGCAGGATCAAATGTTGTAGAATATTAAGGTGTGTTGCATTTGTTTATGCTGTGAAATATTTGTTTTAATGATGCAAAGAAGTGTAGCATCCTTTTATGTTGCTTTCGTTTAACTCTGTGTAGCTGTGTTACTTTGCCTCTCTAAAACAACTGATTGGTCTAATAAAGAGCCAAATGGCCAATGGTGAGGCAGGAGAAAGGATAGGTAGGGCTGGCAGACATAGAGAATAAATAGAAGGAGAAAAAAGAGAGAAAAAATGATCAAGGAATAAGAGAGGAAGAAGGGAGACTTCAGGGGCCAACTACTCAGCAACACTGTCAGACACGGAGTAAGAAGGAAAGAAAAGGTATACAGAAATAGAGAAAGGTAAAAGTCCAGAGGCAAAAGATAGATGGGGATAATTTAAGTTAAGAAAAGCTGGATAGAAACAAGCCAAGCTAAGACTGGGCCTTCATAAGAAATAATAAGCCTCCGTGTGTTTCAGTTGGGACCTGGATGGTGGGCTCCCCACAAAAGTCAAAAGAGTAAATCGAGTAAAACAGCCACCAACAACCAAAGACATGAGTATAGGTACTGTGTGATGTTTTTTTCCTAGAGAGTTTCCCTGGGACTCAGTCATCCTGTCATAGTGAATGCTTTGCCTGTCCCCTGGGGCAGGGGTTTCGGAGGTTCCACTAGTATGAGTGGCTGGGATGAGGCTCAGGTACCAGACAAGGAGCCTAGGCCTGGCTTGGGGGCAATAGAGAGCCAATGTGGGTATTTGAGCTGGGGCCCAAGGAAAAAGCCGTGGGTAGGACACATCTATACGCAAGGTCACCTGACTACGCTGGAATGAAAGGGGCTGTCCTCGACTGTGACGCGGACCCATCTGCGTGTCTCCACAGCAGAACCACATCATGGCAGAGCGCAATGTGCTACTGAAGAATGTGCGCCACCCCTTCCTCGTGGGCCTGCGCTACTCCTTCCAGACCCCTGAGAAGCTCTACTTCGTGCTTGACTATGTCAACGGAGGAGAGGTGAGTGGACCTCAGGAGGGGAGCTGTTCTCCCGTGTGTCCACTGCGTACCCCACTCCAGAGTGATCTCACTGAACCCCGACAACAGAGCCACTTGGTAGACTCAGTAAGGCGCTCCTCAAGACAACCCAGTCTACACCAGGTCCCTTTTACTCCTGATATTGCAGGAGTGTTTCCTATGCAAGGTGGCTCATACTTACTTTCAGAGACCCCAGGAAAGGTCTCTACCAAGAGAAATGTGTGGTCACTGTTCCCAGTGCTTCCATTTCCCACACCCAGGCCACAGGCCCAGGCCCATCACTATCATCTTTTTTATTTCCATGTATATGCATTATATACGCCTATTTTTATGTGAGGGGCAAACGTGTAGGTGCATGTGTGTTTGCACACGGAGGCCAGAGGCTGATGATGTCAAGAGTTATCTTCAGCTTTCCTTCCGTCTTTTTCATCAAATCAGAGTCCCCCAACCAAACCCAGAGCTTGACAGTGTAGCTAGTCTTGCTAGTCAGCTTGCTCTCATGATCCCGTCTCTACCTTCCGAGGCTGGAATTACAGGTGGGCAGCCATGCTCTTCTGGCATTTATATTGGTCTCTGGGGACCTGGACTCGGGTCTTTATCCTTGCACTTTAACCACCTGATGTCACTGTCCTAAGTAGAGACCTGAGCCACCTGCTAACCCCAAAGCATCACAGGGACAAAGTAGGCACCATCTTGGACTTTGCCTTGTCTTACTGAACAAAGGGGTAAAATTTAATAGGGGCTCTCCTCAGTTGCACCAGATTTGGCCTATAACCAAATATTTTTCAGCATGAGTCCAACAGGGGAGGTTTTATCCTGCACATCCCTAAATGATGACTTTGCAAACAACAAAGCAGACCAAACAGAAAGATCTAGAGCTGAGCTCAGTGTGGCATCCTAATGTTTGGGCTGGAGGAAAAGCACATTTTTGTTGGGTGTGGTGCCTCACACCCATAATCCCAACACTTGGGGTACAGAGGTAGGAGGATTAAGTTCAAGGTCAATCTGGGTTCATAGAATATACCCCTTCCTACTCCCTCCCCAGCTCTCCCCCCCACAAAGTATGTCTTGAACTACCTGGTTTCAAATTCCAGCTCTGCCAACTCTGAGATGTGGGACCTTAGACAAATCATTTAGCTCCTCCTCCTCCTTAGACATGAAACTGGCGTCACAGCTGAGATCTTGAAGGTGGTAATGAGGATTAAACAGTAGTTATAAAAGAGCCTGACTTGTAGCCTGGAACACAGTGGCTGCTTAATTATGCTGACCAAAGGCAGGGAAAGCACAAGCGCCCTGAGGGGTGGGGTCAGCATGCAGTCTCTCCTGTCAAGTACACCTCAGCTAAGCCTAGGGTGACTGGTCTGCGCTGAGTCGAGGGTCTTGAAGGCCCCTGTCTTGTGATCTAGGACCTGGAATCCAGCCGCCATCTCACTGTCCTCTCTCCTAGCTCTTCTTCCACCTGCAGCGGGAACGCAGGTTCCTGGAGCCCCGGGCCCGGTTCTACGCTGCAGAGGTGGCCAGCGCCATTGGCTACCTACACTCCCTCAACATCATTTACAGGTGAGGCCTGCTCTTGGCTCGTGCTCTGTCTCAGGACCTTTGGCTCCACCAGGCAGGGACTGTGTGAGCCATGAGGCCCTGGTGAACTGGGTCCTTTGACTGAGGAGGGCTCTTATTTTGGATTGACGTGTCCTCCTTTCAAGAGTCAAATATCCAGCTTTACTTATTCATCTGTGGGAGCTTCCGGGAGTTTCTCCTGCTAGGACCCTAGTCCCCAATTCACTCAATAAATGGCTGTTTTCTCTTATTTTCTGCAGAGACTTGAAGCCAGAAAACATTCTCTTGGACTGCCAGGTGTGTGGTGTGGTGTGATGTGTGTGTGTGTGTTTGTGTGCCGGCATGCAGCTCAAATCTGTGCTCTTCAGCCATGGTCTGTGTACATTGGTAATTATGCGTTATACATGTATGCATATGGTAACATACATTCTTGTGTGCATGTGTACATATGTGCTCATGCACGTATCTGTGTATATAAATGTGCACAGGAGACCACACACAGGTACAGATGTCAGGGCAGATATCGTTATATAGGCCTGTGGTGGTGGTGGCGGTGGGGGGGGGGGTAGGTGCGGCTCTGTAGACCTCCCATGTTTCCTGATTCCCTGGAGACTGACCCCGAGATGGAGAGTGTTACAACTCTAAGGGGGATGAAAACAGGGTGGGGCAGAGGGAGAGGTGTCACTGCACCGTGGTTGCAAGAGGAGCCTCAGGACATCTCACAGGACGGATGCCCTCAGGACAGATGGCTCTTACCACGCCTGGTGATGAGTTGGTGATTCGGGCCTTCACAGCCCCTCTTGCTCAGTTGCTGGTTGTGGACTGCCCTCTAGAGGGCAGCACAGCTTTGGACAGCGGTACAGGCCCAGCAGTGAGGATTGCCCGCAGCAGTTCCTAAAGTCTGATAGCCCTCTACCTGTCTATCTTCTCCATCCTCGTGCCCAGTTGACTTTGGTGGGCTTGATTTCTCAGTCCTCAGCCCTCTATCTAGAGCATTGCTACCCAGAAAGAACACCCTGGAGTTGCCACTGTTGTAAGCACGGCCCCGAGGCATGATGTCATGGTCCCAGCCTGTGCCCCGAGATCTCCTGGCATCCGGGCCAGGAACCCTGAGTCTACAGAAGGCATGCAGCCTGTGTCTCCTCGCCATACCGCACAGTCGTTTCTCTAAGGTGTGGCATTTGACCTTTGACCACTAACCCCTTCCTGTTGTCTCTCTCCCACAGGGACACGTGGTCCTGACAGATTTTGGCCTCTGCAAGGAATGTGTGGAGCCCGAGGAGACCACATCCACTTTCTGTGGCACTCCCGAGGTACGTGGAGGACCTATAGAGAAGACAGGCCGTAAGTGGCTGACGCCACAGCCCCTAAATAAAGCCACCAGACTACAGCAGCGAGGCCTCACTCCATCCTCTCAAGCTCTTCCCTGAGTCAGCCCTAAGTTGAGCCCTCCTCTCCTCATAAGTGTCAAGGAACCAGCATTTGGAACGGTGGGCACCCAGCTACCGCTAGTGAATTCTACAGCTGCCCAGCGGGCATGGGCAAGCTACCACTAAATGTGGGGTTGCACGCCTGTAATCCCAAGCACTTGGGGATGGGGACAGGAAGATCAGAGTTTGAAGCCAGACTCAATTATACAGTAGGACCCAGGCCAGCTGGGACTTCATGAGACCAAAAACAAATAGATGGAGGTTGAACTCAGAGCCTCAGGCGTTCTAGGCAACTACATTAAAAAGTAAAAAGATGTGCTGGAGAGAGAGATATCAGTGCTTGAGAGCACAGGCTGCTCTTCCTGAGAACCTGGGTTTGGTTCCCAATTTACACACCTCAGCTCACAACTATCTAGAACTCCAGTTCCAACGGATTCAATGCCCTCTTCTGGCCTCCATGGATACTGCATGCAAGAGGTACAAGCAAAACACCATGCACATAAAATTGAAATAAATCGTGTGTGTGTGTGTGTGTGTGTGTGTGTGTGTGTGTGTGTGTGTAGACAGGGATGAAGAGCTGTCTCAGCAGTTAAGAGCATTTGTTGCTCTTTCATAAGATCAGGAATCAGGTCTTGGCAACCACATGGCAACTCAGAGCCAATCCACAGTAACTCCAGTTCCAGAGGATCTGGCACCCTCTTCTGGTCTCTGTGGGCACTGCACACATGTGATATGCGTAGGCAAAACACCCATAAAATAAAATTAAATAATAAATCTTTAAGAAAAGTAAGGACAGGACTGGGGGCTGTAGATAAATGATAGAGCATTCGTCAAGGCCCTGGGTTTAGTTCCCAGTAACACATGCACACATGCATGCACACATGCATGCACACATGCATGCACACATGCACACATACATGCACACACGCATACATGCACGAAGTAAAAAGAAACAGGTGATGCCAGGCATGGTGACACATGCCTTAATCCCAGCATTTGGAAGGCAGAGGCAGGAAGATCTCTGTGAGTTCGAGACTAGCCTGGCAGAGATAACAAGTTACAGGCCAGCCAAGCCTACATAGTTAGATCCTGTCTTGGGTTGTGTGTGTGGAGGGAAAAAAATGGGTGAAACTAATTTAACAATGTATTTTGTTTAACTTAATATATCTCAAACCTCACATTTCAATACATAATCAGTATAAAATTGTGAAATAGGACTGTCAAAACTGCTTAGTGGGTAAGAACACTTGCCGCCAGGTCTAAGGGCCTGTGTGTGTTCAATGCCTAGAACTCACATGGTAGAAGGACAGAACTAATTTTTCCAAATAGGTCCTCTGACCTTCATATGCATGCTGTAGCATGTGTACACACATGTGCATGTGCACACACAATATATACAAAATAAATGTAAAAATGTTGAAATAATGAACTATTAATATTATAATCTAGCATGTGAATATAGTTTACATTTATAGTACACATCAGCTGTGATTGGCCACATTTCAATAGAGCCAAATCTTTCTTTACTTTACTTTTCTTTTCTTTTTTGTTTTTTTGAGACAGGGTTTCTCTGTGTAACAGCCCTGGCTGTCCTGGATCTTGCTTTGTAGACCAGACTGGCCTTGAACTCAGAGATCCACCTGCCTCTACCTCCTGAGTGCTGGGATTAAAAGCATGTGCTCACATGCCCAGCTAGACCCCAAACCTCGATCCTCTGCAAAAGCAATTGTTCAATGACAACATGTGCCTAGAGGCCGCTGTGTGGGACAGCACTGCTCCACAGGGCCAAGTGCTTGACCAGGAGAGCATGGCCTGAGAGTTAAGGTCAGGGCTTGTAATCGTTAAACATAAATGTGCCTCCCTCTTTCAAACAGAGAGTCTAGCAGGTTAAAATTTGTAGATTTCTGTAATCCCCATACTTTTCTTCACTGAGAGGATGAGGTGTGAAGATTGTAAGAAAGTGCCTCAAAATAGAAATAATTAGGACTGGTAGTGGTAGCGTGGTTGCCTGGTGCGCATGAGGCCCCGAGTTTAACCCCAGCATCACAATAAACAAACAAACAAACAAATAAACAAGCATTGCATGTCTGCGCAGGGATTCACTTGTCTATCTGACCTGCCTTGCATTTAAAACCTTTCCTTGAACTCCCACCTGTTTTGAGTTGGGCCTTAGGCCTGAAGGGGGCAGAGGCCTGAGGATGCAGAGCCAAGCAGCACCTCCCTGTTAGTCTGGATCAGGACTTAAGCGCCGCCCTATGTCTCCATCAGCCTGCCGAGCTGTGCCTGGACCCTCAGGCGGCATCCGCCAGTTGGTACTCAGGGACCCAATGGCCTGGTACCCTCTCCCAGAGGGGACCATTGTCTGCGTTTGTGCGGGGTTTGTCCACTTGATAAAGCTGACCCCAAAGCCTGACAACAGTGCCTTCAGTGGGTGTAACTAGCACTAGGGAGCAGGGGCTACAGAATTGTTACTCATGTCAGAGACATCCCTTCTTCCATGACTGCCACCTCTGAGCGCCAGGCACACAGACCTATGTTTGTTCCCATGTCCCCATTTTTATTTAGTGTGTGTGTGTGTGTGTGTGTAGTATGTACACAGGTTCATGTGAATGTGGACAGGTTCATGTGCACATGCATGCCCATGGAGGCCAGAGGTTGATGTCAGGTATCTTCCGTAAACACTTTCCACATTATATCTTGACACAGTGTCTCGAAAGGAACCTGGAGTTCATTGATTTGAGTAGGCTGGCCGGCCACTGATCCAGGGGTCTGCTTATCTCCCCACCACCACCCCACATCACTGGGGCTACATATGTAAGCCATCTCACCTGGCTTTTGTGTGACTGATGGGGATCTGGACATAGGCCCTCATGCTTATACAGCAAGCGTTAACCAACCGAGCCGTCTCTCCAGCTACCACTCCGACTGTGTTTCCATTTTAAGGATAAGGAAGTCTAAGTTCTGGCAGATCAGGTGCTCTGCCTGGGCCCACACACTGAAGAGGGCTCAGGGCTGTATGATTCTCTTCCCTTCCATAGACCCATTCCTTTAGCTTTGCCCCCATTGTCACCCCACTATGCTGTGAGGTGTCACCAGGGCTTTCCCAGCACTAGGACACAGAGAGCCTATAGGTGACCATGTGCAAAGAAGAAGGCATGCCGTGCTTCTGAATTACCACGCTGGCTTGGTGAGCACATCATAGACTGATTGTAGCTCCCTTTACCCCCTGACTAATACTCCTGTGTGACGTACAATGTGCACGATTGTACAGGGCTGTCTCGCCCGATCTCCTGTCTGTCCCCAGTGCACTGCAAAGGGCCTGTCACCAAACTGGCCTCTGTGAATGGATGCTAATGACCACAGGAGAAGCTGTGAAACAGTGACAGTGGTAGCAACCCCCTCCGAGTGCCTTCTTTACAGACACAGAAACAATCCTGGCATCCTCAAATAACTATGCTTCCCCCAACAGTACCTGGCCCCCGAAGTGCTTCGTCAAGAGCCTTACGATCGAGCAGTGGACTGGTGGTGCTTAGGGGCGGTCCTCTATGAGATGCTTCATGGCCTGGTGAGTGGACAGAGATGTCTCTACAGGGTACATGTGGCTTGAGACAGCTGAGGGTGGCCCCCATTTTATGTGGCTTACTCTAGTTTTGCGCAGGGAATTAAAGAGCTAGCCATCTACCCTGGGAAGGAACGATGAGGCCAAAGTGGATATGAGAAATGAATATCTCTTTTAAATAGGGTAATTTTCACAGTTTATATGTATAACACACCCTCTATTGCAGAGCGTAGTTACTTTTGTTGTACTAAGAGAGAAACTGAGGCTGAAGGGTCCCATTGGTAGATTGGGAGCTGTCCTGGACTGTATGCTTCAGTGGAAGCCTGTGTGGACCTGCCTGAGGTTGGCTTTCCTCTGGGCTGGATTCTCCAGCATGGCATGTTGTCAAAGGAGTAAGCGCCGAGGGTTCGGAAGGACCAGTGGGCAGAGGAAATGGAGGAGAAGCAAAGAGAGATAGATTGTGAGTGTAATTTAGAGTCCAGCTCTTTTCTTAGCTGTGTGGTTCAGTGGTCCCTAGCCTTGTCTTCTCTTGTCTGCCAACCCATAGCCTCTGGCAGAAGATGGCTGTGAGGCCAGGAAGAAATGCTGAAGGGGAGAGGGGAAGAGAAAAGACATCCGGGAGCCTCCTGTGGGTGTGAAAAGCCTGTGGCTCTCTCAGCAATCCTCTATCCCGTGCTGGAAGCCTAGAGGTCCTTTTTCTCCCCATCTGCCCCGCAAGCTATGGTACTGGACGCAGCCTGACCACATACTCCCGGCTATCCAGCTTGCTCTAACCCTCCCTGATGAGACCCCTTTCCTGAACCCCCAGCTTCTCTCCCTGTCTCCCTAGCCCCCCTTCTTCAACAAAGATGTGGCCCAGATGTATGAGAATATTTTGCACCAGCCACTACAGATCCCTGGAGGCCGGACAGTGGCCGCCTGTGACCTCCTGCAAGGCCTTCTCCACAAGGACAAGAAGCAGCGGTTGGGCTCCAAGGAAGACTTTGTAAGTGACCAAGCAGAAGAGCACAGGTCCCCTCCTGCAGGGACAGCTCAGAAGCACCTGCCTTCTGCTGTCCTCTAAAGCCAGGAGCTGCTGGTGCATTTCCCTAGAAATGACCTTTCTGCCAATTGAACTCTGTGTCTATTTCTGTCTCTGTCTGTCTGTCTGTCTGTCTGTCTCTCTGTATATGTGTATGTGTCTTCTTTTTGTATGTGATATATGTCTATATGTGTGTGTCTGGAGGTCAGAAGTTGATGTCAAATGTCTTCAGTTGTCCACTTTATTTCTTGGGACAGGGTCTCTCACGGAACCTGGTGCTAACTGATTGGCTAGCCTGTCTTTGCCTCCTTGGCTCTGAGTTTATAGAATATGCCATCATTCTCAGCTTTTACGTAGGTGCCAGGAATTCAGGCTCAGGTCCTCTTGCCTATCTGCCAAGCACTTTACCAATTGAACCATCTTTCCCACCCCTGACTCCTTTTTTTTTAAATACAGTTTTTAGGCAACCAATATTTGCAGGATTCTTATTTTGGCCTAGCACTGAGGTAGGTGCTGGGGGTTGACTAGCCTGGGTCTCTGACGTGATTAAGCTTGAAGGTGGAAGGAGACTGACAAAAACCAGAGATTCTGTACACGGATCACAAAGTGTGACAAGCTTCAGGAAGGAAATAAATGATGAGCAGAGACAGACAGTGAGGGTGTATGGGGACAGTGCTATTTCACACTGGCATGGCCAGGCAGGTCCCCTCTAAAGACGTAACAAGCTGAACTTCGAATATGGGGAGCCATGCAAAGAATTGAATGGAGGCGTTCCAGCCGTAGGCACAGCATATGTACCAGTCCTGCACAAGGAGGAGAATGGCAAGAAGCAGAATGTCTTTGCTGAGCAGAGGAAGGTTTCATAAGCTTCTTCCTGCTTCTGTGCAGAGAAACTGCATAAGTATCTTGCTTTTCACAAATATCTGAGCAATTCACTTTGCCAGACCCCTGGCTAGACACATGAGAATGGGAATAAGTAAGTCATAGACTTCACAGTCTGTCTGTTCTTTTCATTCCTGTTCTGACACATACATGTTTAAAGAAAAAGATTAACGCATCAGTTTTAAAAATAATATTAAACCTGGCATGGTGGCACACACCTTTAATCCCAAAGTTTGGGAGGCAGAAGCAGAGGCAGGTATATCTCTGTGAATTCAAGGCCAGCGTGTTCTACAAAACGAGATCAGCTTCCAGGACAGTGAAAGGTATTACAGAGAGATATCCTCTCTCAAAAAACAAAGCAAACAAACAAAATCTTATTTATTACTCAGTGTGGGATCATTTCAGGGACAGCAAGATAGTTTGGGTGTAAGGTGACTGCTGTCAAGTCTGACAACCTGAGTTTGATCCCCAGGATCCACATGGTGAAAGGAGAGAACTGACTCCCAAAAGTTGTTCTCTGACCTCCACATGGGGCAGAGGCAGGCAGCTCTCTGTGAGTTTTATTTTTATTTTATTTATTTATTTTTGGTTTTTCGAGACAGGGTTTCTCTGTGGCTTTGGAGCCTGTCCTGGAACTAGCTCTGTAGACCAGGCTGGTCTCAAACTGACAGAGATCCGCCTGCCTCTGCCTCCTGAGTGCTGGGATTAAAGGCATGCGCCGCCATCGCCCCGCTCTCTGTGAGTTTTTAAACCAACCTGTCTGAAAAGTGAGTTCCAAGCCAGCCAGGGTTACATAGTAAGACCCTGTCTTAAATGAGGAGATGGTGGCTATAGTCCAGATGGCCTCAGCAGCTAATGGATAGACTCCAGGGCTGCCCACCCCCATTCTGTGGATAGCACAGCTTTTTGATCCATGTGTGTCATATAACAAGCGTTATATACACTGAAAAGATCGCCATGCCAGGTATTGTGATGTGTGGTAACCACTTTGGCTTATTTGCCTGTTTCCCTATCCGGCTTAAAGATCTGATCCGGGCTTCTGCGAAGACAGATCCCTTCTTTCCAGAGAGGAGTTTGCATCTTAGAGCACGCGTGCCTGTGACTCTTGAGACAAGTTTTGTGTCCACAGAAATCAAACTCTGAGAGGCAATACTGACACAAGGTGTTGGAGAATTGTTCAACGTGAAACAGACAGAGGGAGGAAAGGCGGTTTAGAAACAAAGCAGAAAACCATGCAACCATGCCCAGGACTCGTTCCTCACTTCTGAGTCCCTGGGAACCTACAGCTTTTCTTAGGGCTTTCTTTCTTTCTTTCTTTCTTTCTTTCTTTCTTTCTTTCTTTCATTTTTTTATTTTTTGAGACAGGGTTTCTCCTTAGCTTTTTTGGTTCCTGTCCAGGAACTAGTTCTTGTAGACCAGGCTGGTCTTGAACTCACAGAGATCTGCCTGCCTCTGCCTCCCGAGTGCTGGGATTAAAGACGTGTGCCACAACCGCCCGGTTTAGGGCTTTATTTCTTATGTCGTCTTTGGTGAGCAGGTTTAGTCTATCTCTCTGGCTTGTATTTTTTGTTTTTTTTTTGTTGTTGTTGTTGTTGTTTTGTTTTTCGAGACAGGGTTTCTCTGTGGTTTTTGGAGCCTGTCCTGGAACTAGCTCTGTAGACCAGGCTGGTCTCGAACTCACAGAGATCCGCCTGCCTCTGCCTCCCGAGTGCTGGGATTAAAGGCGTACGCCACCACCGCCCGGCTCTGGCTTGTATTTTGAAAGAATCAGGATGGATTAATGTGCGTGGAGGTGGGAGGCTATCTTCAATCTCCACCTGCATACCCCCCCCCCATAACCAGTTCTGCAGTCTTGTTCATAGACATGATGCCCGAGCCTGGTAGGGTGTGGGTGCTGAGACCCAGCTGTGGAAGGCACCTGTGGCCGTAGGGGGAAATCTGGATTCGGATAATGCAGAAGTGAGCTGTCTGTCAACAGAATGCTCTCTGGGCTGAGCAAACCAGCCAGAGCTGCAGAGTTCTGTCTAGTTGGTGGCCAGTTGTGGGTACCAGTTGGGGAGTGGCTGTGGTGAGGACTGCTGACCAGTGTCTTCTCCCTGCAGCTCGACATAAAGAACCATGTGTTCTTCAGTCCCATAAATTGGGATGACTTGTACCACAAGAGGCTAACTCCACCCTTCAACCCAAACGTGGTAAGTGAGCACAAGGATCTCTCCAGATTTTGGTTTCTGGATTCCCAGGGCTGGTAGGATCTAGGCCAACTGGGGAACCTGAAGGGGCCAAGAGTCTCATCCAAAGCAGCAGGAATGAGAATTGGCTCTAGCCACCCTGGCCCCTGATGGCTGGCTCAGCCTTAGAAGGCTGAGCTGTGGGCTGCTCCATCATCTCCAGCACTGACTGTAACCCCACCACAGAACTGATACAGTGTTTATTTCTGAGAGGTAGTAGCTCAGGCTAGCCTTCAGCTCAAGATCCTCCTGCACCGCCTTTTTCTGGTGACAAAAACATGTGCATTTCTTGCAGGAAGTGTGTAAAATGGAGTTGGAAGCAGCAACAGGGAAATGGCTGGGAGTCTCACCAGGCAAGGGAAACCACTGTTGGTAGACTTCCTTCCACTTCTGAATACCGCCAGGATTTATCATTCCCTATTTGTATTTTTCCTTTGTGGAGTTCCTGCCCTTGAATGTGACACTAGATTTCTTTTCCCTTTTTTTGTGAGACTCTGTACTGGGCTATCCTAGATACTATCTCACTGTCCCCGTGTCTCTGGCTGGCCTCAAACCATGCTGATCCATCTGCATTTTGAGTACTGGGTTTGCAAGAGTGAACTACCGTGGCTATTACCAGTTTCCTGTGTGTGTGTATGTGAGTGTGTGTGTGTGTGTGTGTCTTGTCCTTCTCCCCCATTGCCTCTGCCTTGATAAAAACTGTACACACATTATACAAAGCACCACGTTATACAAAGTACCACGTTATATAAAGTACCACGTTATACAAAGCACCACGTTATACAAAGCACCACATTCTTTATTTGTAAACACTGGAAACTATTGAGCTGTCAAGAGCAACACAACTAACAAAGTTAGGCAAGGGTCATGGTTGAGGTTCACATTCTGGTCCAGACACTGAGCTCTGGGCCGGACTACTGCACCCTATGGCCCTCCTGAGAAGCTGGCAGCTGTGGCTTGTGTGTTTCCCCAGCCCAAGACCTGCTTTTAAGCACACCTGCAGACCCTCCCACTGCTTGCTCACCTGCTTATGTCCGAGAACCCGGGGCAGCATCTTTTCTGCTGCAGAAACACTAGCCTAGGTTTACTCTTGCCCTCTAAAGTAGGGGGTTTCAAATAACAATCTTTTAAAAGATTTTATTTATTTATTTATTTTTAATTGTGTGTGTGTGTGTAGGTAGGTAGGTGTGTGCAGGTGGGTGTGGTAGAGGTGCAAGCTGAGCAGAGGAGGGCATCAGATCCCCTGGAGCTGGAGTTACAGGTGGTTGTGTAAGCTTCCCGAAGGCTGCTGGGAACCACACTTGGGTCCTCTGCAAAAGCAGCAAGCACTCTCAGCGACTGAGCCATCGCTCCACTGAACAACAGTCTTCTACCTGGATTCTATGGGTTTTTAGAGTGGATGAGCTCAACTCTTCCTGCGGAGCCCTCAGGTCTGTGGTTAGTAATAAAGGAGCTGCTGCTGGTGGTCTGGAATTACCTCACGTGTTTGTTCCCTGAATCCTCTTTGCCTCCATCAAGCCAGTCTGCGTTTGTCTATGTGGTGGCCTCAGGGTACCCAGAAAGACAACTCCTCTGAGGTACCCTTTCCAAGCCTTCGCTTAGTTATTTGGCAGTATCTGATTGGCCAGTCACATGACTGGCCCATATTAAAAAGATGGTTGTATATAGTCTGTCTCTGGAGTGGAAGTAGAGAATCTATTATCATTTCTTTTTTGTTGTTGTTGTTTTGTTTGTTTGAGACAGGGTCTATCTATGTATCCCTGGCTGTCCTGGAACTCTTTATGTAGGTAGACCAGGCTGGCCTCGAACTCACAGAAAACCACCTGTCTCTCCTCCCAAGTGTTGGGACTAAAGGTCTGTGTCACTACGCCTCATTCTCACCCTTGGCTTCTACTTACAGGAAGGACCTGCTGACTTGAAACACTTTGACCCAGAGTTCACCCAGGAAGCTGTGTCCAAGTCTATTGGCTGCACCCCTGACACCATGGCCAGCAGTTCTGGGGCCTCAAGCGCATTCCTTGGATTTTCCTATGCACAGGATGATAACATCTTGGACTCATAAGTGACAAGCGCTTGCAAATCCGCCAAGACCAGCTGGCACCTGCAGGGGCTACCTTCTGCTGCCAGCAAGACACAATGAGTTCAATGACTCAAGGAAGAGGGAAGTGCTTTCTGTCACATGAAAAAGAGTGCAGGACAGGCCACTGAGTACCCGCTCAGGCCAGCAGGACAGGTCACCGAGTACCAAGCCGTCTGTCATTCTGATTTGCTCTTCTTGAGAAATGACTCCTGTATTTGGTGGCTGTTGTTGTTGTTGCTGCTGCTGTGACAAAATATCCAAGAAAGGTAACGGAAAGAGGATCTCGTCGGGCTCACCACTTCAGAGGTTTCCGTCCACGGCTGGCTGGTCCCATTGCTGTGGCCTTTAGGCAAAGCTGAGTCACCTCGGTGAAAGGAGTGGCACAGAAAAGCTGCTCACTTTCTTCCTACCAGGAAGCAGAAAGAAATAGAAGACTGGGCTGGAAATAAGATTTACCCTCGGAGTTATGTCCCAAGTGACCGACATCCTCCAAGCGGGGCCCACGTTTTAGTTACCTTTCCACCACCTCTCCATGCCATACGAATCTATGAATGGACTAAATCACCGATGAAACCTGGGCCCCCGTGACCCAATCATATACTAAAACCCCATCAGCTGGACAGGGAAACCTTTAGATCCAAAGTAAAATAGCTTTGAATATTGGGGTTACATGATCACAACATGGTTGCTGATACCATAGCCACCTTTGTGTTCTAAGCAAGAGAAAAGAGGGATGGGACAGGAGTGGGTTACAAAAGGACACCATTAAAGCGTTTCCCAGAAGCCCAGTTCAGTGACTTCTTTTAGCATGTCATATATCTCCAGCCCTACTTAATGGAGCCTGGGCACAAGCTACCTCTCATAGCAAGGGCATTCAAACATTGAGGGAAAGGGTTCCATCACTGGCCTGCTCAAGCCTTGAGGCTGCAGCCGCTTTGTACACAAACCCACAGCCCTCTCGATGAAGACAGAGCGCTCTCCTGAAAAGGAGGGGTCCTGTTTGTGGGTGCAGGCCTTTCTCATTTCCATGGTAATCGTTTGCACAAGCACTTCCTTCCCTCTGTCCCAAATGCTTCCTCAAACTCCACATCTCCGACCCCTCACAACTCCCTGCGGCAGTTTCTATTTCTAAAAGTTGGTAATTTGGCATTTCAGGACACCTGGCCTCACAAACGTCCCAGGTGCCGCAGGCCGACAGGTGTTTCGGCCTCTCCCAACACCTGCCAAGACGCCCTGCGCCTGCGTCCTGCAGCCTGGCCGGGGCGTGGGTTGCCCACAGCCCCCGCCCTCAGGGAGCCTGGGGACCTACATCGGTCTTTAACGGCGGCTATAAGGAAATAAGCTGGGGTTTATCAAAACGTGAGTCCTCAAGCCTGGCTGCTCCCTCCACCCGCGGGAACTGTCCAGGCCGGCATCAGCCCCGTCCCCTGCCCATCAGCCCCAGCGTTCGCGGCTCGGTGGCACTGCCATTCTGTCGCTCTGTCGTCATCACTCCGCGGCGGAAGTCGCTCGGGGCCCAAAGCCACGCCTTCTCGGCGCGCGGCCTTGGATACCTGGCTGCCTCTGGCCTTAGGTAAGGAGAGGGCGGGTCGCACGGGCCGGCTGGGCGCTGGGTGCCTCGGGGGTGGGTGACGGCTTCGGCTTCGTCGTGCTGCTCCGGAGACCCCTAGGCCTGCCTTGTGGGAAACCCGAGGTCGGCGGAGGTAAACTGAGGGCGCGTAAATGGGCTGGAGAAAGGGTCCTGGAAGTGATCTGGAATCTCTAGCTCCTCAGACTGCGCGGATTCGTTGTCGTCCTGCACAGTACGAAAAAATCCTGGATGAGGAGCCATCAGATCTTGGACTCGGCTATTCTTGCTACCACCTCTGTTTTTTTGTTATTGAAGAGAAAATAAGAGAATAAGGTTGTCCCTTACTCTACCCAAACATCAGGACCCCACATCTGCTGCTGTCACCCGAGGCTAAACTACAATAAACTGTAAACTCGAAGTATATTCTTCCTTTAAGAACCATTCAATACCCAAAGCAGGTTATTTGCTTTTCCCGGAAATCTGCCCTCTAGAGAAAAAAGGGGGAGGGGTAGAAAAATCCCAAAACCAGGAAAATATAATTCCAGTTCTGCGATGCATGGGTTCGTTGTGGCCATTAAAATTGTCCATGGAGCCGGGCGATGGTGGCGCACGCCTTTAATCCCAGCACTCGGGAGGCAGAGGCAGGCGGATCTCTGTGAGTTCGAGACCAGCCTGGTCTACAGAGCTAGTTCCAGGACGAGCTCCAAAGCCACAGAGAAACCCTGTCTCGAAAAACCAAAAAAAAAAAAAAAAAAAAAAAAAATTGTCCATGGAACATAAAAATCTAGCACTGTTACGTGGCGAAACATGGCAAAATGTTTTTTATTTCATTGAAGGAGTTAGGATGTAGCTTAGTTAGCACAGAATGCCTGTATGAGGCCCTGGGTGTCTGATCTCAGCACAGAAAAATAAATGCCATTGGAAAGGTAGCGGCATGGTGGCTGTGTGCCTGTAACCCCAGCACCCAAGAAACTGAGACAGTTCAAGGTCATCCTCCCCTACCTAGTACATTAGAGGCTAACCTGGGCTATGAGATGCTGTCTCAAAAGAAAAAAAACGTATTGAAGGAATCTCTTATCAGCTTTGAAAACATGGATTGGTATTGGGCAGTCTTCTGGTAATTAGGAAGAAATAATGATGCTCATTTTGAGCATCAAGATAAGTTTCAAATGGACCAAGAGTGTTTTTAACTTTTAATTTATATTTATTTGTTGTATATGCGTGGGTGAACATGACACCGAGTACTTGAGGAAGTCAAAAGACAACTTGCAGGAGTTATTCTATGGGTTTTTCAGGCTTGGTGGCCAGTGCCTTTAACTACTGAGTCATCTCTTCAGCCCATAGAGGTCTCAGATTATAGTGTTAAAAAATTATGCCATATTTGTCTGCACAAGACCTATCCCAAATGGGGCCTGTCATTATCTCATGGAGAGGGGAGGGCTCAGGAGGCCTTGTCCCTCCCTGAAGCTCTGTGGGCGGGGAGAGACATTTTCCTCAGTGGTACAGTGTTGTTTCACAGCTCCAGAAGCAATCCTAACTAAACTCATTTATTGGAAGAGAAAAGAAGAAGACATGACAGGTGAGGGAGGAACAGTTTAGGGAAGAGAAGGGAATTAGTGGGGATGGGACAAGATCACAAATTGGGAAGTATGATTTAAAAAAAATACATTAAGTGCACGAATGAAATTGTTGAAGTAATATATGCTAATAAAATCTTAATAAAAAAGGATAATCATGAAAGTTCAAGAAGAAAACATTGTTGGACATACCCAGAAATCTTACCACAGCAAGAGTTTTTTTTAAAAATGCTTCATACTGTCCAGAAGCCAAAAGGAGAAATGTTAATACTTCTGGATCTATAAAACACGTGACCTGTAAAATTAAGCCAGAAGGTTACCAGAAGCCAAGGCTAAAGGCAAATCAAATTTTGAAAGTTTTGTTTGGTGACATAAAACCCAATGGAAAAATGATCAAAGGACACAGACAAGAAAATGAGCAATGACCAATGCAGCAGTTTCCCCTTGTCTTTAGGAGCTGTTCTAAGACTGTCAGAGATGCCTGAAACCACAAACAGTAACAAACCGTGGGTGCGTGTGTGTTGTTTATAGGAACTAGTATTACTGGGGCTGGAGAGATGGTCTGGTTAAAAGCACTGGCTGTTTATCTAGAGGGTCAGGGTTCAGTTCCCAACAACCACCTGGTGGTTCACTGCCCTCTGTAATGGGATCTGATGCCTTCTTCTGACATGCAGACAAAGCACTCGTTCATAAATAAAAATCTGTAAAACTGACCTGGAGAGGTAGCTCAGAAGTTAAGAGCACTGGTTGCTCTTTCAGAGGTCCTGAATTTAATTCCTAGCAATGACGTGGTGATTCACAACCATCTGTAATGAGATCTGGTGTCCTCTTCTGGTGTGCAACCATGCATGGCAGAAGAGAACACTGTATACATAGTAAAAAATAAATAAATCTTAAAAATAGGTAAATATGGTTTCTCTCAAAATAGCTTATTCTAGACTTAGCGTTGTGATTGAGATAATACCAATGTGACGATATCCGTTAGATAGTGCCTGTGTGATGCCGTGAAGGAGAATGACATAGGCATTGTGACATACATGGTACCGGGATATTGTTTTGGTTCATTGAATAACAGCCCTGTGATGCCAAAACCACCAATCTGACTGACAGATTACTGAGTGACTATAGCTGGATAGTGCATATAGCATTGATAGGTTCTACAAGAAATATCTCATGTCAGGGGAAGGTAGCGTAGGATAGTGTTAAGATTTCATCCTACTACCCAGAATGGTTCACAATTTAAAACTTTATTTTTGGATCTTTCCATTTAAAATTTCAGATCATTCTTATATTTGGACACACACAAAACCAGAGAGAGAGAGAGAGAGAGAGAGAGAGAGAGAGAGAGAGAGAGAAAGAAAAGAAAAGAAAAAAAGAGAAAAAGCTGGGTGGTGGTGGTGCAGACCTTTAATCCCAGTACTTGGGAGGCAGAGGCAGGTGGATCTCTGTGAGTTTGAGGCCAACCCGGTCTACAAAGAGAGTTACTAGAGAGCCATGACTGTTTCACAGAGAAACTCTGTCTTGAAAAACAAACAACAGTTAAATTTCAAATCACATTTAACCCAGTAACAACCCTTGAAAAGCAAAGCCATGAATAGGGATACTTTTGTATTTTGTTGGTAAAGTTGACAAAGACTGGAAAATTGTGTTGAATGGAAACAATTTGTTAATGAAAGTACAAACGATTAGTGTTTTGGAGGGCAGTTTGCACATTATTTAACCATTCAACAGATAGTAATCTAATGCTGCAAAATAAACAAAACTTCACATTCAGAATGTTTTGAGAGAGATGGAGAGATGGTTCAGTAGTTGGGATATACTGCTCTTGTAGATGACACTGGTTTTCCCAGCACATCAGGTGACATATAACTGTTTGTAAGTCTCTGGCCTCTGTAGGCACATGTACAT